TTTTTTTTTTTTTTTATTATCTTTTTTCATGTCTTATCTTTTCATAATTCCTGTCAATTGTACTGCAAGAAACGGTTTTACACTTTATTTTTCTTTTTTTACCGATTGCTACTTTCGTTTTGTTTAGCAAAAAACATACGTAGCATAGTTTTTCTGATTTTTTTTTCTCTTCGAATTGTTTCCGGAAATTGCGAACAATATCCTAGCAGATATGAGTTACTCCTGAGTTCAGATGACTAATAATGCGACAGTTAACATTAGCTGCGCCTGATGCGAACATTACTCAAAGCTATGCTTAATTTGATGGAAAAAAAAGCCAAAAGGGCTCATGCATTGGAGATTTTGCGATATACCTTTCATAAAAGGTTCATTAAATAGATCTCTTCCTGAACTTATTCCGGCAATCCCAGTTTTCCGTCTGCTATACTTATTAGCTGTTTCTGACAGCTTTGAGAGAGTAATTGAAATGAGGCAGAAAAATATTTGCATGCAATAGGATGATGACATGCTTGTCTCAAGAGATTCCAAATTTCAACCACTTCAATGTTTGTTGTTGGTTTTGTTATCTGAAGTACACATTTGAGTAAAGTGATGAAAAGTATAAAAATCAAAACGTTCCACTTCCTCAGCACAATAATAGAATTTGCAGAAATATCTATAACTTTTTCTTTTGTCATCCTTTGAAATGATAGATCAATCATTCTTCTTTTTATGTCAACGAAACAATTCACATATATTTATCGAAGTGATTACCCAACCATTTGTTTATTTATCAATACGTAATGGGGCATAAGGTTAATTTTAAAGTAGCAATAATGTTAGGTAGCCAAATTGGAATTATTTTTTTGCGCTTCAATATCGGTCATTTACCACTTTTTTTCTTTCTTTCTCTCTCCCTCTCTCTTTTCCAACATATTACTACATATTACTAAAGTATACTTTTCGGACAAAACTTCACCTACCCATCTTCACTTCATTTCATTGTTTACTTCATTCATTCTGATTATGGTATGCATTATTTCTATGAGTTTATATGGTCATGAATTTTATCATAATATTTGAAGAGAGAGAGAGAGAGAGATAGAGAGAGAGAGAGAGAAGAAGAAAGAAAGAGAGAAGAAGAGA